AAAAATAAAAAAAAAAAAAAAAAGAAACGCAACATGATCCCTGATTTGATCAGAACCTTTATTTTAAAACACTGTTCTGTTATTTTATTATTTTTTACACGCGGCATTGAACGTTATAGCACGTCAAACTGATTCTAAACATTATTCAGTGCCTGTCTTTTATTTATGCCCCTGTATTTATACCCTAACGTTCGGAGTTTGATCCTTACCGTGGTCACAACACGGGTAGCCAACTGCTCAGCTTTGTGCTTAACAATTCAAAATTAATCCTCTTATTTACACTTTTTTATTTGTATTTTTTCTCATTGAAAATAAAACGAGAAAAGGAACGTCACTACTTTATTGTAGGAATCACATAAATTATTTCGAAAAACGACCGATAATTTAAAACTTTCTAGTACTCGGTTACTTGATGTTTCTGTCATATACAAATAACATTTAGTTCAAAGCCAACTACTTCGTAACACATCATCAGCCACAGAGCACGTTTGAGTAACTGGGTGACATATCTGCACATTGAACAATCGCATTTTACTTAAATGTAGCGATCATTAAATCCCAGAAAAACACGCTGCCTTATTGGGTCATTCAGAATCACAGTGCCATTAGGCGTACAAGCTTAGATTTATATAAGCCCATCCCGTATTTCATCTTAACGGTTTTAGCACAGTATTTTTATTACAATATAAGTCAGAAAACCTACTTTTTTGTGCGATACACATACATTCATAGGCATATATATATAGGCTTTCAGGGAAACAACAGTTTCGACTAAATATCACGTTAGGAGAAGCCTTCCTTTCGAACAAACTACAAGATGAGTACTTTTCTCTCAGAGAACGTATGGGAATTGCATAGAGAATGTCAAAATATTATATATGTATGTGTTTAGCTCAACATATTCACAGTCCCCTAGCATCTCTCTCCTTGTATGCGTACACATTCTATAAAGATGTTATGATAAGATTTCTATGCGAATTCTACTATAGTAATAACTTGCGTTGTTATTTGGTTCGCAACACTTTTTGCAACCATGATACATCTAAAAGACACTAACTTTTGTAGTAACGTATTGTCCAGGGACTTGCATGAATACCATTAAACCCAAAAATATAAGGTTTTCTTAAAAAAAACAAAAAAGACGTTTGTTTAGAAGAGTAGCTTTTAAGCTCTGAAAGTGCCACCAACCGAAGAAAATCAGGGATTACGCCATGCTCGTGCCTTATCAGCGTAATATAGCGTACTCTCCAGGGTTTCAGCTTATTTCGAATAGGAAAGAGAGGTACATATTTTGCAGCTATCGAAAAGCTCACATTGAAGGAAGAAAGGACAAGAATAAAAATATGAAGGGAAAGTCTTGGAATGAAAACTTCCAAACTTTTCACTGGATAATTACTGATAAATAATTAGACTAGAGTTTCGATTATTGGACGGGAATATGAACTTTATAATATTTACTCATATGCTAAGTCCGTTCGTGTGAAGAGCACAGCTTGTACGTATGTATATATATATCAACTCCTCCCACAAGTTTTAACAAACCAACTTAAAATTTCAAACGTAGGCTCTTGCTTTCCATGGGGTGCAAGTGGCCCAGTGGTTAGCGTGCCGGACTGTGGAAGTGAGATACCATCGTTCGCATCCCGTTCTCGCGAAAACAAAAATCGTGCTCCGCACTTTAAGGCTGTGGATGCGTCACAAAACTGACCGTTAAGTTCCACTATTCGGTCTGACAAAGTTAGGGCTGTTGATGCGTTATAAAACTGACGGTTAAGTAGTTCCACTATTCGGTCTGACAAAGTTAGGGCTGTTGATGCGTTATAAAACTGATGGTTAAATCCTACTATTCGGTGTTTTGAATTTCGCGCAAAGCTACACGAGGGCTATCTGCGCTAGCCGTCCCTAATTTAGCAGTGTAAAACTAGAGGGAGGGCAGCTAGTCATCACCACCCACCGCCATTTCTTGGGCTACTCGTTTACCAACGAATAGTGGGATGGACCGTCACATTATAACGCCCCACGGCTGAAAGGGAGAGCATGTTTAGTGGGACGGGGATTCGAACCCGCGACCCTCAGATTGCGAGTCGAGCGCCCTCAACTCTGTTGTGAAGAGCTATGTAAAGTAAACTGGGAGATATAACTCTGAACTCTTATCCGATAAAGTAGATTGAACAATCTGTCGTTACATAAATTAACTGAAGATCACAACACTCTTATCGTGGGTGTAGGTATTAAAGAAAATATATAATTTAGATACCTGAAAACTCAGATGAATCTGTAATTCTTAGAAGTTACATGCCCGGTTTATTTTAATTAAAGATTAGTATTTGATTTTGTTATTAAAACTTTTATTTTACAAAATTATTGAAATAGCTGAGGGTTTCACCACTCCGGGCACCATACCTAGTTACGAACACGTTTTAGGAAAGCCAAAAAGGGAGCACAATGTTGGGTAACAGTTTGGTTTTTAATAAAAACCCTACATTTTCATGTACCTAAAGAAGGGTTTGAAGCAGCCCACAAGATAAACTATATACTGACCCAGTGATCGACCAATTATGAAGTCATTCAATAAACATATTGTAGACATGAAACAGTTGTTATTTTTTCGCGTTTTTCAATATCTTATACGTAGTTATTTTCTTTTTTCATCAACCAGAATGTTATGGCTCAAAAGTTTGATATGACGAGGTAATCGGCTGAGCAAACTTTAACTTCCAGTCGTTCACGTAATATGTGTTTCATTCATCACCTCATTGATCGTATCAATCAAAGAAATTCGCATCATATGAATCATTAGCGTTGCATTTAAACACTAAGGATATCTTAGGTGTAGTATTTTCATACTACATTCATTGTTAACTCCGTAAGTGATTTGTTGCCATATGAAAATGCTTCTAACATAGGAACAAAAGGTTTGATTGTTGGAATTGATAGCACCCCTTACAAGAAGGTTAGCCTGCCTGAATAGAGGCCATTAGGTCAGGAAAACTTGTATTTATTCGATGTAGAGCTTTGTCAGTAAAAACGTAACTTACACATGGAGGTGACATTCGAGTCCATAGCTCTATCTGGACATAAACACGGAAGCACATATTTACTCTTTTGAATGTACATATATCTGTAACTTACATTGTTGATGATATATAATCACACTTGTTTACAGGGTAAGTAGAACTAGGAACTAGATGTGAGGTAGAAAACGTACATTTTCTTCTTATTGTAGTCTTAGTCAATTTCTTGGAGAATGTTTTGATAGCTGACGTTTTTGAAATATTTTATTGGGCAGTTTTAGATAATTCCCCACCTTAGCACTCATTCACTTTCAACACTTAGTCCAACTTGTTAGTTTTCGACGCACGTGCTGGATTTATGACCTGATGTTTCCCTCCACGATGATAAGTTCTATTTCGAACCTATGTGAACAGATATCAAACCATACATGAATTTTTCATTAATGAGAAAAGAGCGTTTCACAAGGTCTAATGTATTTCTAGATAGGTTATGTTAAAGATCTACAAATTGGGGGTGTAGGAACATAAATAAGCTTAGGTAATATTTCATCAGTACAGATGATTTGAAAACTTTTTGATTTGAGAAGTCTTGTAATGAATGCATCAATCCCGTAAAGAATGTCATAGATTGTTCTTCACGTGTAACTAAGTTGTTTCAATCCCATATGATTCTTCTTCACGTGTAACTAAGATGTTTCTATCCCATAAAGAATGTCATAGGTTCTTCTTCACGTGTAACTAAGTTGTTTCTATCCCATAAAGAATGTCATAGGTTCTTCTTCACGTGAAACTAAGTTGTTTCAATCCCAGAGTGTCATATATTCTTCTTCACATGCAAATAAGATGATGTCTTATTGTGTAAGAAGCAAATTATATATATTTTTAGAAAGGTAACACCAAATTTTATGTTGTAGTAGCCTTCCTGTCTATCCATAAACTTAGTAAAGAACTCAAGAAATACATCTATTTGATTATGGCTTCCTGCCCTACCAATGTGAATTTGCTTCTGACGCCTCTGATTGTAACGTTGTTTTTCTATTAGATTGTTTTCTTTTAATTGTAAAGGAACGATGGTATCTCTGAACCAAAATGATTGAATCTAACAAAGTATTTAA